AGTCCTGGGGAACTGACATTTCATGGGGATTTGAGACAAGTTTTGTGGTCTACTATGGTCTACTCTAGGGGTTCGCCATCAGCCTTATCCCTTCACTGTCTACATTCACTTCCTCACAGACTGCATCCTGTCTCATAGACTTAACAGTAATTCCAACACAATGAACTTATCTCTCCACAGTATGACTGTGACCAATTGTAGTTCCATTCCTCTCTACCTTTATGCTCTATAATAGTCAGAACACATAGAATCAACTGGAGAAATGCTCTACAGTGAATGCCCTATTTCCACATTCGGATCATCTCTTCCTTCTGAAAAAACAGTTCACCTCCTTGCACAGGACCCAGCAGAAAATTTAACAAAACATGAAGCAAAGATTGAAAGTAGGATGAAATGTTAACAACTGGGAAATACTCCAGGACTGGCTGTTTTTCCTTTTGACCCTCACCAGCCATGGGGGGTCCAGTGGCATGCACAAAGTGGCAACCCAACCCAAGGCCCTGAGCTTGTCATACTTTCTTACAGAACTCCAGGTGGTCGGGGGCTGACAAGACCATTTGCTAAAAAGAAAATATTATTTTGAGGAATTGCAAATTTTTACATGTCTCACCTACTTACCAATAACTCTACAGGTGCACTGTCATGCATTCTGTCCCTTCATGGAGACAGGCAAGGGTATTGTAAAGGTAAACAGAGACCAGCTGAGAGACAGGAAACAAGAGAATCTAGATATCATCACAATTCTCAAACTTTCAGACCCAAAGCTATATAGCAATTATGAGTGACTTTCCCCTCAATAAACACACACCGAGACACCCACACAAACACACATTAATGTTACAAGATGACAAAGAGCCCAGTCTTTGAAGAATCAGAATAGCATGCCCTTGTGTTTGCTAACCATGAACAAGAGGTTAAGATTCACATTTTCTAGTTAAGTTCATTGATGTGCAGGGGATTGAGCTGTTACACTACTCATGCATCCCAGGAAACAGAAACATACATACCAAACCTGTGGACCCTCCACTCCAAAATTTTCTCACATTTGCAGCACTTGGAAGGTATGCAAGTGTGACCACCTGAACTCTGACCACTGACATCGTCAGGGCTGCAGGACTGGTCTCTGTGAAATAGCATCAACCTTTAGCTCCCACATGTAGTGAGGTCACAAAAGGCAGCTACACTGCACTTCTGATGCTACAATTTTACTGAACAGATGAGCAGCTGTAGAACAGATAGGCTACTGGATGAAGTGAGCAGTCAAGGTCACTCCTAATGAATCCTGGTATGATAGTGTCACAGCAATCTTTGATCCAGTGCCACATTCAAAAGTCCCCTCTACTTCAATGCAGCCAGTTACATATTTTCAAACCATCAAAAAACTTAACTTCCATTCCTACAACATAGTCATGATAAAATGTTGCATTTATTGAGCAACTGCAATATTTGGAGGGATTTGCAAAAATATTTCAGCACACTAGCTCATTATTCCTCACGCCTCTCCTAAGCAGATATCGCATCAAATGAGTTATAGTGAGGAGAGTCACAATCTATTAATCACTGGCTCAATGCTAATCAAACGGTACGTTGTGGAGCCAGGGTCAGAATGAAGGTCAGTATGCTGCAAACAAAATTTCTGACAACTACATTTCTGGGCATATGTCTAGTTTTCTTGTTATTCTGGCTGTTAATCCTCAATTACATTGATGATCCAGAGCCTGCAGGGTAGTGGGGACAGGAGACAAAGGAAACATCCTATTCAATTCAGACAACCTGGATCTCCTCCTGGCAAAGCCCAGTGACTCAGGCAAGACTACCTGCCTTCAGGCCCTTTGTAATAATGGCGCGCCAGAGGCAGTGTCTGACCTTCTCTAACTTCACAATGGGGAATGAGAATTAAAAACAACAGCCCAAGGCTGATTCCTATGAGGCGGAGGTCAAACATTCCCCTTTCTCTGCCATTTTTTCCAATTCTGATACCAACCATCCCTCCCAGGGTACTCTCTATTTCGGAGTTCAGTAACGCATTGCGAAGGCCACATGGAACTCACAGACAATACTCATGATTACGGGGTTTATTAGGGAAGTAACTGGTTACAATTCACACTCAGGAAGGCTCAGGATACAGTTCTCCCGACATGACCGTCTCTTCTCAGCTGTGCCTGCCGGCCACCTCTCTCTGGCCCCTTGTCCTCTGCCTTGCTCAGGCAAGTGTTACAAACCTCTTTTAGCTCTTCCAGTAAGTGCCCTGAGGCACCCCATTCCGCCAGGAAGCCTTGGCCTGAAGGCGCTCAGCTCTAGCTCTCCGGGTCAGCAAATCCAGCTCCACCAAGAGCCCAGAGGCA